ATTGGGAAACGTAGTTGCTTACATAGCTTCTGTGGGTGGGACATGTAACTTTGTTTTGGGAAATTGTTGCTTGTGTATCCAGACTTGGTTTACTTTTGACGTGCCGACACATTGTAACTAATAAACATGTTCTTTGAGGAATTTGCAAGCCTTGGAGTTCTGCTTTATTCGTCTCTGTCTGTCGGAATCATGACATTTGTTTTCTTTCCTGCTTCAAGAAGAAAACTATTTTTGGAAAGAAAGCTGTTTTCTTCCACAACTACGTATGATACTAATTCCATGTTTTGTGTGCCATGTGATGTAATGGTTTTATAAATTTTACAGAAAATAAAAGACAATACAAAAACAAAAAACAACATATACAAATAAAAAACAAACATTACCCAACAAAACCCCCCTTCCCCCACCCCTACCCAACCCCCCCTTCCCCCCCCCAGGGCCTCCCAGAGCAGAATATAGGCTTAATTAAAAAAAAGTTTAAAAAATTTATATTTATAAAAAAAAGAATATAAAATAATATATATATATATATAAAGTTAAAAATTATGAAAAAACTATATAGTATTTTTTTATATCAAATTTAAATTGTATGAATTTTATCCATTTATCCCAAACAGCAAGAAATTTCTCTTGCGTTTGTCCCTTTAAGAAAGCCGAAATCTTTGATGTGATGTAATGGTTAAGACACAAGCCAGAAATTCGAAAGCCATAAATCCTACTCTACTTAATAACAAAGCCAGTCATTTACTTTGAGCCCTATGAAAGAGACAATGGCAAACCACTTCCAAAAATCTTGCCAAGAAAACAACAGGGATTTGTCCAGGCAGTCTCCAGGAGTTAACACTAATTTGAAAGTACAAACAATGTTTTTATGGGTAGGGGAATTTGTGTTTTACAGCTACTTTGGAGATTGAAGAATAGGCACTGGTGCTAGTACACATATGGGTAGGAATAATTAAAAGTTGTGAAAAGTTATATTTTAGGAATTCCATCTTCCATGAAGCACAGAGAGCTGAAATGACTTGCCCAAAGCCAGAAATTGAACAGTCTGTAACCAACTGAGATATTTCCTCTCTTTGAATCACACTGGCTTTCTCTGCATAATTTGTCTAGAATTTGGATGATAGAATTCGTATCTCTTTTGAAATCTCTATATTCAGACCAGAATAGTAATGTATATAGCAAGTAAATTGTGAGTTTTATTTGACATCAAATAATGCACAAAGAGCAAGATAAGTATTGAAATGGAAAACACGCCCTAATTTTTATCTTGAAGATATCCTTGCGCATATGATTCACTTCATGATTTTTAGTGGCAAACTCATGCTGACTATTTAGCTTGTTCACAAGTTCAGAGAAACCATCCATTAGAGGTAATTATCCTAGCAGATTGCAGCCATTGAAAACAAGCCATAATACATTTTTAGTCTAGAGGTGACACAAGATTCTTGTTGTTTTTGCTGTTACAGAGTAATTCAGCTACCCTTTAGAATCCTCTTCTGAATACTTATTATAGGATGCAACAGAAAGCAGATGTTAACAGGATTATTGTATAGGTGATGGGCATTTGATGGTATAGAATCAGTGTCATAATGGGCTACAAATGAAAACAAACAATTCAAAAGTGGACTTTGCTCTATAAAGATTGTAAGTATTGCATTTAGGTGGGGTTCCAAGTCTCCCAAATAAAAAAATTCAGTTTAGCTCAGTTTCATCTTATTCAGTCATATACTTGACTGGAACTAAAGCTATTCTCATAATGAACATTGAAACAGCCCAAGTGGAGAACAGGTTCCTTAAGGCTCTTGCATAACTGCAGCATTCTTCTACCCATCATCTCTCAAGGCTCAAATAAATAATGCCACATGGGAAAGAAAAATAACAGTTGATCATATAGACTACCATTTCCCTTGTTTCATAATGACCCAATGAATGACACCATATAATGGAGGGGGGAGGTTATTGTTGGAAAAGCCTGCTTGGAGAAACCAGGATGTCTGTGAAAGAAATATGGTCAAATAAATGGGGAAATAGATTTGCCAGTTACAGCCATTTCAAGGAGCCGGGCGCAGAGGCAGGAGATTATATGAGCTGGCTTCCAGATCTCCTTTTACTCCAACTCTGACTGCCAACGAAAGCTTATTGACTCTTTTTAACCACAGGCTTGTTTACATTAAACAGTTTGGTTTATTATATCTTGGTGTTCGTTTTTCTTACTAACTTGGTGTTTATATATATATATATATATATATATATATATATATATATATATATATATATATATCTGAGGTTTTCGCGGGTATTTGTATGTAGGTCTTTGGTTGTTCGGGTTTTCTCCCGCGTAAAATTGGAAGTGTCTTGGCGACGTTTCGACGAAGTCCCATTCGTCATCTTCAGGCTGGTGTTTTCAGCTTCGTGCTTTGAGCAGCAATGTGTGGTCTTAGCTGTTTCTTCCTTTTAACTGCCAGTGGGGGTATGAACTGATTGGGTGGGAGCTTGGCTGTGTTCTGATTGGGTGGAGGTGTGTTCTGAATGGTTAGGGGCTTGGCTGTGCTCTGATTGGCTGGGGGAGTGTTCTGTTTGGTTGTGCTCAGGTTAGTCTGAGTTGCAGAGGGGTTTGAGATTTTGGGCTGCCTTGCTATTTTTTGGCTTCGCGTTCGTGGTCGTGCTTCCTCTTCATGGAGGGTGTCAGTTTGCTTCATGTATGGATTGGAGGGGTTTAAAGTGGCTAATGATGCAGCTGTGGTCTGGCTTCTGGTTTGTGGTCGTGCCTCGTCATCGGTGTGGCTTTGGGTTTGTTTTTTGCGTGGATGTGTGGTGGTGACCTCCTGTGTGGTTTTTGTGAGTGTGGGTCTGGTATCATTTTTTGTGTTAGGGAGTCGTTTGTCAATAAGGGCGGGTTTCCAAATGGCTGGTAGGCGGGAGGTATCATCTCGCTTGTTCATGCTGTGTGGGCGTTTTTCTATCTCGATGGCTTCTCTGATTATTCTGTTATTAAAATGTTCACTTTTGGCAATGGTTCTGGTATTTTTAAAGTCAATTTCATGTCCTGTGGCTTTAAGGTGTTGGACCAGGGAAGATGTTGGTTCCTCTTTTTTGACTGAGTTCTTATGTTCTTCAATGCGTGCACTTATTCTTCTGTTGGTTTGTTCGATGTATGTGGTGGGCTGTAGGCTGTTGAGGTGTGTGAGGAAGTTGTCCAGTTTTTCTTTCCCATGTGGACAACTGGACAACTTCCTCACACACCTCAGCAGCCTACACCCCAAAATACAGTTCACCATGGAAACAGAAGCTAACAACCAACTTCCCTTCCTGGATGTCTTAGTCTACAAGAAATCCAATGGCTCCCTAGGACACACCATCTACCAGAAGAACACACACACAAACCGCTATCTGCACGCTCTCTCACACCACCACCCAGCACAGATCAACTCTGTAGCCAAGACACTCATCTCCAGAACAAAACGCTTAGCTGACGAACAACACCTAAAAACCGAACTACACACTCTCACCAATGTACTAACATCCAATGGATTCCAAAGAAATAAGATTACAAACCTAATCCAAAAAGAAACCCCCACTAAAATCCAAGACAAAGAACAAAAAAACGGCAAAGCCCTCCTCCCATACATAAAAGGCACCACAGACAGAATCAGTAAGATCCTCCATAAACACAACATCAAAACAGCATTCTGCACAAACAGAAAAATATCCACCATCCTTAGAAACCCAAAAGATAAAATTGAATTAGAAAATCAAGGAGTATACGAAATCCCATGCACCACTTGTCCCTCCACATACATCGGACAAACCAACAGAAGAATAAGTACACGCATTGAAGAACATAATAACTCAGTCAAAAAAGAGGAACCAACATCTTCCCTGGTCCAACACCTTAAAGCCACAGGACATGAAATTGACTTTAAAAATACCATAACCATTGCCAAAAGTGAACATTTTAATAACAGAATAATCAGAGAAGCCATCGAGATAGAAAAACGCCCACACAGCATTAACAAGCGAGATGATACCTCCCGCCTACCAGCCATTTGGAAACCCGCCCTTTTTGACAAACGACTCCCTAACACAAAAAATGATACCAGACCCACACTCACAAAAACCACACAGGAGGTCACCACCACACATCCACACAAAAAACAAACCCAAAGCCACACCGATGACGAGGCACAACCACAAACCAGAAGCCAGATCACAGCTGCATCATTAGCCACTTTAAACCCCTCCAATCCATACATGAAGCAAACTGACACCCCCCATGAAGAGGAGGCACGACCACGAACGCGAAGCCAAAAAATAGCAAGGCAGCCCAAAATCTTAAACCCCTCTGCAACTCAGACTAACCTGAGCACAACCAAACAGAACACTCCCCCAGCCAATCAGAGCACAGCCAAGCCCCTAACCATTCAGAACACACCTCCACCCAATCAGAACACAGCCAAGCTCCCACCCAATCAGTTCATACCCCACTGGCAGTTAAAAGGAAGAAACAGCTAAGACCACACATTGCTGCTCGAAGCACGAAGCTGAAAACACCAGCCTGAAGATGACGAATGGGACTTCGTCGAAACGTCGACAAGACACTTCCAATTTTACGCGGGAGAAAACCCGAACAACCAAAGACCTACATATATATATATATATATATGCACACACATACACGTATAATATTTTATGTATTTTCTATGAATTTATCAAAAGTTCACTGTTTCTCTTAAAGCATCTATCATAAAATTGAATTGTTAAAAGTATGTGAATATATTTGTACATTGAATTATACAGTAAGAAACTGGTAGCCATTTCAATTGTATATTAAGGTGATTACACTGTTAGACTCTGGTAGCAATTTAAACTGCATATTAAGGCCTAGATGAATTTGCTTTCCTATCACCTGAGTAGTCACGTTGAATATTGTTTTTTTAAGAATTCCAGATTATTGCTGCTTTAAAATAATTTTTTGTGTGTGTTCATTTCTTCCATAGACAAAACTTGCCAATGGTACTTCAAGCATGATTGTACCAAAACAAAGAAAGTTGTCTGCAAGCTATGAAAAAGAAAAGGAGCTCTGTATCAAGTATTTTGAGCAGTGGTCAGAGTCTGACCAGGTAGAATTTGTGGAACATCTTATCTCTCAGATGTGTCATTATCAACATGGGCACATAAATTCATACTTGAAACCTATGTTGCAGAGGGACTTCATCACAGCATTACCAGGTATTTTACTTGGAGCACACAAAGAGATGTACTCGTTTTTATTTAGAAGTGCATTTTCTGCCAGAAGTTTAAATTTTGGGGGCTTATTTTGATTAAGTCTGGTCTAGTGGTTTAGGCACCAGGCTAGAAACCAGGAGACAGTGAGTTCTAGTTCTGCGCCAGGCATGAAAGCAGCCAGCTGAATGACTTTGAGCCAGTCACTCTCTCTTAGCTCACCTCACCTCACCTCACAGATTGTGTTTATGGGGAATATAGAAAGAAGGAGTATTAGGTATGTTTACCGCTTTGAGGTATTTATAATAATAATTAAGACAGGATAACAATAATTAAAAGTCACATTCTAAAAATTAATTTGACTGTTTCCTACTTAAAAGAGACATAGAGGTATTTTGGTTGGCATCTTAGCAAATTCAGCATTTAGCCAACCTTGTTTGAGCTCAAAAGCTAAGCAGCACTGATCTGAGTTAGTTCTTAGCTGAGGTCACTGATTTCAAACCCATTGACTATATTGCATTGAAAGTAAAACAATATCCTGAAAAAAGGCAGTGACAAATAATTTGTATAAGACCATCAAACAAAAAAACCCTGCATGAATGTAGCGCCCAAGAGTCGAACACAATTTGAGTACATTTATTTTGCTTGATCTTTTAAAACTGGGGTTCTAATTACTCATGCCTAAACCTGGTATTAAATTAAGATTAATCCAGTTTTAATAATTAGTATTGGAAATAGTAAAATGTAAAACTGAGGGGAGGAAATCTGAAGTATTATTTATGAAAATAATGTGATTCTATATAGAGTAACAATACTGCAAAATTATTCTTTAGATCTCATTTGGATCTAAAGTTAATGTTTAATTAAAAGGGATGGGGAGAGGAGTGGAGGAAGGAAAGGAAAGGGAAGGAAGGAAGGAAGGAAGGAAGGAAGGAAGGAAGGAAGGAAGGAAGGAAGGAAGGAAATATGACTTCCAGAGTACTTTTCAACACATATTACAAGCCTATCAACTTTCCTCTCTCTTAACTGTTCCAGAAATTTCTTCAACCCCTTATTTATTTCTCTTCTTAAATCCCTAAATCGTCATTTCATTTTTTTCTTCTTCTTTTTCTTCAAAAAGTCAATAAAAGATTTCTGGATTTAAAAATTAGTTGATCTTAAATTAAAAGCTTTAGAATATGAAGCAATAGATTGCTGTTAATATCTAATAACTTCTTTGCAAGATTTGTTGTATTGTTTAAGTATAATTTCTCAGCTTAATTTTCTTTTATTTTTCTTTTCAACTATTTTAACGCCCAGTTTCACAAAAGCTAATGAATTCCTATTTTGTTCCTTTAATATTTTTTCAAAATATGGTGGTAAAAGCAGAAGCTTGGAGGGTTTTAGCAAAGGATTCATGGATAGCACATTGTTGTTGTTTTTTCCCCATATATTTTATTGATTTTTTAAAACATAAATCACTTAATAGTTGGTAAACAGTGTGTTTGCTGGGTTTACATTTGTAAAGAAAAATGATTAACAATTGGTTTCGATAATTCATAATCCACATAGTACATTTAGTTGATTTCCCCCTTTGCCCAAAATGTCTTCTTTGCAAACCTTGAAATAATACAGTTATTATTTTGATAAATAACAGTTACATATATGATTTTTTCCCAATATTTCTAGAAATAATGATCACATCAATATAATATTTCTTTTCTATCTAGTCATTCTGATTGCCTCATCTTATATCCTATTACCATCCTTATTCAGATTTGTTTCTCCCATAAAGTTCAAAGTATTCTTGCTGGTTAAGATTTTCTCAACAGATAATTACATTTAAAAACCTAAATCCATTTTTCCCATATAAACCATCTCATCACTTTTACATTTCTTAAAAAAATAGGTAAAAACAGTAAAGAAAAGGGAAAAAAGAGCAACAATAAAGAAACATAAAAATAAAATACTACTTAAAATATATATTCCTCCTAAGCTAATATATATTCATTCCCAAAATTTCTTATTCTTTTTAACCATCATTAAAAAATATATTTAATCTTTAAATATTCCATTTAATGTGTCTAGTCATCTAATTTTTTAACTCTTATTCAAATAATTTTTTTCTTTTTTATACATTATAATTTCCTTAAATTTATTTAATTATCTAAAACATTTCCTTCGTCTAGGCCATTTCAGCAGTATTATATTACTTATAGCAAGAAATAAAATAAAAAGGGGGGAAAGCATACAGTATTATTTAAGGAATTCATCTCTCTTGAAATAACATATGTATTCAGAATCTTTTCTATTTCTTTAACCATATTCAAACAAATGTTTCTTTTTTAAATATTTTCTCTGGTAGATCCCCTTATCTATTTTCTTAATTTTCACTTTGATCTTTTTCCTTTGACCAGTATCTTTCTTGATCAATGTATTTTGCTGAATCAAAAAGTTTTCCCATATATTCATGACTGTTGCTGTAGGTATAAGAAGAAGATTGAATAAAGTGTCTTTATGTGAGGCTTTTGCCTTTCCATGTTTCTTGAAAATCTTTTTCTCCTTCTTTGCTTCTCTTATCACTTCCTTTCTCTCTGATGTTTTCAACATCTCTACATTCCATTTTATCCAATCTGTTTTTTTGTCCTCAGATTTATTTTATAGTCTTAAGGGTTAAGTTGTTTTTTCCATTTCTTGTAAATTTTTTCCCACTAGGATAAAATCATGTTTTCTTGCTTTGTTAAGTTCCATCTTTGAGTCTCTATTTTCAATTTTATGTCCACTTATTTGTTTTGTCTGCTTCTTTTCTGTTGTTGTTTCCTGGAAGTTTTTTTTTGTAAAGTTAACTTAGAGATAGATTGATTTGTATATTCAAAGTTATTTTGGATTTCTTTGTAATTTGAACTCAGTGTTATTTGAATTGTTGTTGTTTTTTGTCACAGCTGTTCTTTATTATTGAAGCTTTGAAGGTTACAAACACAGATTAGCTTTTCCCAGGTTTTGGCAAGTTCTCTGTGGAAATCATAGGTGTCATAATCTTCATTCACCACTAGGTGTCAGCATCTGTTTAGTTTTCAGTATGAACAATGGTCTTTAAAATGAGAGTCTTAACCATTCAACAATCTTAAACTTATCCAAAGTTAAATTTTGGCTTTCAAGTTTATAAATTTATTTCACTACCATATATTTTGATCTTCTATAGAAATTTTATACTTCCATTAGTATAAGGATGGGGCAGAAGTCCCCCTCCTTCACTTTCGGAGGTATTTTGCTTCTTGGTATCTTTTCCAGCAAATTAAGTGTAGGATAGGAAAGGGAAAATCAGATTCCTCACCCAGTTTCAAGCATGCTGTTTACTGTAGTGCTGGTTAGTTCTTTTGGACTCCAGTTGCAAGTAGCTTGGGCTGATCAATGAAATACAGCCTTTCTCCTGTCGGGTTAGAAGGCTTTCCCCAAGATGAACAGAATGATCACTGTCATTCCAGAGTTGCCAGGGCACCCTTCTTTCTTCGCCGCCTCTTTGGGGCGGTTTGGACCCATTAGGGTCTGCAGGCAGGACGAAAGTTAGTCGCGGGGATGCGGCGGTCTGCAAGCCCGCGACCAGTCGCTACCACGCAGGACCAGAAGTCCGGACAGCACATTGTTACTTTCTTAACTCCTCGTATTACCCAAATGACATTCCTCTCTAGCAGGATTTTTTATATATAAAATTTCAGAAAAATGTTGTTGTTTCGGATCTTCTTATCATAACATTTATGCTTCACTGGACTTTTTCTTTGATGCTCCTGTGACAATAGTTCTATTGTCTTTCAGTTAACCTATTGGCACATTCTTTTATATACATAAATACATACAAATATAATAAACAATGTTAATCTCTGTTAACTGAAGCAAAAGTAATCCTTACTGTCTACAGATTAACACTTTCCTTCACATGATACTATTTAGCAGAAAGCAGTTGTCATGCTGTGAACCTTGTTGTCTTCATACTTCAGTGTAACTGTTTTAGATGCCCTTTTACTTGAAGGAATTATCTTTTAAATGTTACTTTTCTCTTCCCCAGTTTGCTCTTAATGAATTTGCTGGAGGAGACATGGCAGAAAGAAATAAAAATTACTCAGATGCTTGAGAAGGTCATTATTGAGGGGTTGGTTTTTTTTTTTTTTTTTTTTTTTTTGCTTGTCTGTCCTGAACAGGAAACATTTGGTACATAATATCCTGCTTAATCCTGTTAAGAATCATCTGATTCTTAGAAGCCTTTTATGTATCTATCTACTTAAGTATAGGCATATGATCTTGAGTATCCCAAAATATTTTTGTTGTTTACATGCTCCACCATTGCTACTAATCAATGAGTCTCAGTTTTTAGATCAGTTGTAACAAAAGTGGAAATGAAGCATTTGATCTCATTTGGAATGTTCAGTAGATGCTTTTAGAAACTATGAATTGACCCAAGTCTCATAGATGACTTCCTTGAAATTATTGACAATAGTATACCCTAATTTAAGATAACGCTATGTGTTCTTTTAATTCTATAAAATATATAGTCAGCTTGTATTTAGGCCTTGTGTGATGGAATGTAGTAAGGAAGTGGATTCCCAGAAGGGATGGCTGCATAGGAGTAAGAGGCAACTCAGTCCAGATATTATATATAGGGAAAACATGGTGAAGACAGCCCCTTGCTGATCGTTTACAGGGTATATTGTATCTATAGATAGTAGAGTTCTCAATCTGTAAAGATTTTATGTATATGGGGTGATTCTTCCAAACATGATTAGATTAATTGTAATTTAATGATTAATTATAGTCTGCTTACATTTTCTTTGGTAGACCATCAGCAATATGTGAAATTCTCATATTCTAATTTCTCCAGAATTGCAGAACATCACAATTGTCTATGTTCAATTGCCTGCGTTTTCTTTTAAAACTAAATAAATGACAGACAGACAAACAGATACTTGTTACAGTCACATAACCGTTCTTACCAGGTACTGCTTCTTGGGGGGTTTCATATTAGGAACATATATTCTTCATTGCATCAAAAATCTTTAATTTTAGCACAAAGTAGCATTTGAACTGTTGGAATAAAAAAAAATTGTAGTAGCAAAATGAGAAATGGTCCTAATATACCAAGATTTTGTAGAATGCATCAAGTGAGAAAAGTCTTCCGTAGAACATCTCTCTAGTGCTAAAAACCAATAGAAATAGATTGGGAACGACTTTCTGAATTCTTTATCATCTTAAATGCTTTGCTGTTTCTTACCCAAAGGAAGCTACTCATTCTTGAACTTAACATGAGACTATTTTCTATCCAGACATTCCAGTTCTTAATACAACAAATGGAATGAGCAATGATGAAGATGAAAATGTGTTTGTAACATATGATCTCCTAGTGAGTTCCCCAGTGACCACTAAATGCCTTTACTTTTTTTCCAGCTCGAGGCCTGGATCACATTGCTGAGAATATTCTGTCATATTTGGATGCCAAATCTTTGTGTTCTGTTGAACTAGTATGCAAGGAATGGTACCGGGTGACATCTGATGGTATGCTGTGGAAGAAACTGATTGAGAGGATGGTCCGTACAGACTCATTGTGGAAGGGTTTGGCGGAGCGAAGAGGATGGTGAGAGTATCAATCATACATCTGCTCAGTAGGGGAAATAGATGCCAGTGATAGTTTGATCATTTTACCTAAAAATTGGACAATACCCTTTAATTTTTGTATTTCTTATTTTCTTTGTTACTATTTTCTGAGAATATATGTTTTCTCTTGATTCTAGAAATCATTCCAGAAGCCGCTGGCAGCAGGCACATCATCTTTATTAGGAGGCAGGGTGCAACTATTTAGTTGCTCACTTAAGGCAGTAGGTTTTCTTAAGACTATTGACATCAATATTTTTCAGGCCCCTATTTCTTTCTTATCTTTCTCCCTCACTCCCACCCAAAAATTATCCTTAATATAGTCACCAAATAAAGGCAAGCTGGGATTAATGTAGAACTCGGGTAAAACAAAAGCACTTCTTCAAAAGCAACAGAGATTGCCACCATGCTGCCTCATAAGAGGAGACAAACTCTGCACCAAGTGGAAGATCAAACAAATTCCTGACAAACCTAGCAGACAACTTTGTCTCCCAAAAAGTAGAGACGGGAACTAGGGGATTAGCCATATTGGATCTAATCCTCACTAACAGAGATGAAATGATAGAAGGTGTTGAAGCCACAGGAACCTTGAGAGGACGTGATCATGCAATATTGGAATTCAATGTTAGTGAAGCACAAGCAATAGAACTCAGTCAAACTAGAATCTTGGAATTTAAGAGAGCTAATTTCAATAAACTTAGAGAGAACTTGGGAAGGATTCCATGGATGAGAATCCTCAAGGGGAAAACAACTCAAGAAGCTTGGGAAATTTTGAAAAGTGAGATAATAAAAGCCCAGTCTAGCACAATACCAACAAAGAGAATAATAATAGCTCTCAAAAGAAACCAGCATGGCTGCATTCAGAACTCTCTGATAAATTGAAAGATAAAAAGGACAAGTATAAAAAGTGGAAAGAGGGGCACATAACTAAGTCAGAATATCAGCAAATAGCCCCAGCCTGCAAAGATGAAGTGAGGAAAGCTAAGGCTCATAATGAACTAAGGCTTGCGACCAAAGTCAAAAATAACAAAAAAAAGCTCCTTTCAGCATGTAAAAAACAACAAAAAAGTGAAGGAAATGATTGGTCCATTAGTGGGTGAAAGTGACAAGCAATAGGGAGAAAGCAGAACTATTTAACTCATTTTTTGGATCTGTCTTTACACAAAGGGAAAAAACAGACCAACCTATCAAAAATAGTGCCATAAAAAACAGAATAGAAACACAAGTTAAGATAGGCAAGAAAATGGTGAGCACCTGTCCAGCCTAGACGAGTTCAAATCATCAGGACCAGATGGATTACACCCCAAGGTTCTCAAGGAACTGGCAGATGTGATCTTAGAACCACTGAACTATATTTTTCAAAGATCCTGGAGCACTGGGGAACTACCAAAGGACTGGAAAAGAGCTGATGAAGTTCTCAGCTTCCAAAAAGGAAAAAAAGTGGAGCCAGAAAACTACAGACCTATCAGCCTGACCTCAATTCTGGAAAAGATAATCAAACAACGAATCAGCGAACACCTAGAGGCAAACAAAGTCATTACTAAAAGCCAACACGGGTTTGTCAAAAATAGATCATGCCAGACAAATCTTATTGCATTCTTTGACCAAGTGACAAAATTAGTGGATCAGAGGAATGCTATGGATATAATTTACTTGGACTTCAATAAGGCATTTGATAAAGTAGATCACAACCTACAACTCAATAAGATAGAAAAATGTGGGTTAGACAGCATCACCATCAGATGGATTCGTAGCTGGTTGATCGGCCGTACTCAGCGTGTGATCCTCAATGGAACTGATCTACATGGAGGGAAGTGTATAGTGGGGTGTCCGAGGGCTCTGTTCTGGGCCCAGTGCTCTTCAACATCTTTATTGACGATTTGGACTAGGGGATAGATGGGGAACTCATCAGATTTGCAGACGACACCAAGCTGGCAGGAATAGCCAACACTCCAGAAGACAGGCTTAAGATAGGAGGATCTGGACAGACTTGAACACTGGGCGCTATCTAACAAAATAAAATTCAGTGGTGAAAAAAGTAAGGTTCTACATTTAGGCAAGAAAAACCAAAGGTACAGGTATAGTATAGGGGGTACCTTGCTCAATAGTAGTAACTGTGAGAGGGATCTCGGAGTCCTAGTGGACAATCACTTAAATATGAGCCAGCAGTGTGCTGCAGCTGCCAAAAAGGCCAACACGGTGCTAGGCTGCATTAACAGAGGGAGAGAATCAAGATCACATGAAGTATTAATACCACTTTACAATGCCTTAATAAGGCCACACTTGGAATACTGCATCCAGTTTTAGTCACCACGATGTAAAAAAGATGTTGAGACTCTAGAAAGAGTACAGAGAAGAGCAACAAAGATGAGTAGGGAACTGGAGGCTAAAACATATAAGGAATGGTTGCTGGAATTGGGTATATCTAGTTTAACGAAGAGAAGGATGAGGGGGGACATGATAGCAGTGTTCCAATATCTCGGGCTGCCACAAAGAAGAGGGAGTCAAGCTATTTTCCAAAGCGCCTGAAGGCAGGACAAGAAGCAACAGATGGAAACTAATCAAGGAGAGAAGCAACCTAGAACTATGAAGAAACTTCCTGACAGTTAGAGCAATTAACCAGTGGAACAATCTGCCTCCAGAAACGGTGAATGCTCCAACACTGGAAGTTTTTAAGAAGAGACTGGACAGCCATTTATCCAAAATGGTATAGGATTTCCTGCCTGAGATGACCTCCAAGATCCCTTCCAACTTTATTTTTATTTATTATTATTATTATCATCATCATCATCATCATTATTATTATTATTATTATTATTATTATTATTATTATTATTATTATTTCCTCTGTGCTGTCTCTTAACAATACTGGCCTAGTATTGCTATGGTGGGACTTCAGCTGTCCCCACTGCACGGCTTCCTTCTGTTATAGGCAGTAATTTTAGTGCTTTTCTTTTCAGATGACTCTGAAAAGTCATCTCTGTTCCCATTATTTTCTAGTTATTGGTCCTATGTTTCCTGTTGGTCATTCTGTCAGCTGCTGCTGCTTCATTAAAGTAGTTTCTCTCTGAAGCAGAACTCAAATATTTGGTGGGAAAATCTTTTCTCTTAGCACAGAAATTTTATTGGCCCTTTATGGCCACTTCACATCCAGAATCTGTAGGATTTGGCATGCCTCTTTTGGAAAAGGTTTCATTGCCCTTAAAGGATCAAAATCTGGATCCAGCACTGAGAGTGGATTGCCATATAGATGACATGGAGACCTTTTTTATCAGATTTGTCTAATGTCAGAGATGCACCATTCTGTCAAAACACCTGAGAGCTCATCTTTTTTTTTAACTGCACTTTTTTCTTCTCAACTAGCACTTTTTTCCAGAAATATTTCATCTGCTAGCCTAGAGGCAGAAAGCCAAAGAATGCACCACAGGATTTAACTGAGCCTATTACACTTTACAGTTCTCATATTACACCATTTGAAACCAGTGTAACAAATAGATGTAACACCTTTTAGGGATTTGAGTAGTGGGATGCATATATATTAAAATCAGTGAGGTATAATATTCTTCCATCCTATAACTAAGATCAGTCTGTGACATACCTAAAGAATAATCAAAATCCAATTACCATATAATGAGTAAACAAATTTCTAGAACTCAGAAATAGATTTTATGTTATGAATAGGATATCAACTGGGTTTTTTTTAAACAGACCTTTGCATTTGGAAATGTAATCTTTGTTCATAAAATCTGGAATACTCGCTACTAAGCAATTAGCATCTAAAATTCAGATAGTATTCATCATCTATTTCACATGCAGGACCAAGTCTGATGTTCTACTATTAACATTTTATTAGATGCTTCCCTCCTGGGATAACCCCTTTAATATACAATTTTCTATTCATTGGGCCTCCATAGTTTTCTGTGAGATATTTGGATATAAATATTTCATAAACAAGACAAAGTGATAGCCAAGGCATTTTAGCTTTTATTTATTTAAATAATAATACTGCCACAATTTGCAAGTGCAAAATCTATTAAAAGAATTTAAAAAGCCTCGATGCCATTAATATGTTGACATTCAATAGATTAAGAAAAAAAATAATGCTTGTGAAATATTCTAAAATGCAACTCTGCACCCAGTTTTAGTAGCAAGTGTACACCCAAATTGCCTTTTTTCATGGTATTTTTAACAGCAGACATGACAATTACCATTATCTGCATCTTCAAAACTTAGTATAGGGAAATGTGGTTTAGTTTAAGAATTAAATCAGATTCCATTTGTGGAGATCTTAATGATATGTAGACAACATATCAAGCAGTAAAATGAGCAATAACAGGTTCTAACAGTTTTCTGATAATATTAGATATTTATTTCCTAAAGTTCTGTGCCAACCATGGGATTAAAAAAACCTGTTATTTCTTTAGCCTTAGAAAGTGGGTTGTAAATTAATATTTACCTAAGCTATATCACTATCCTCTCTTTGATTCTCCTTAGAAGAAACAACTATTAAGGCAAGAGGTATATTTGCTACTATATAACAAAGCAAATATTTTAGATTGCTGAGCTACACACATACAACAAATGGAGGTTTGAAAAATGTTATTCTTTGCTAGAGAAATGTAGACAGCTTGAAATCTGATCAGGGTCAGTGCCCCTGTGTCACATATTATTTCATTCTGTTTAATTTCTCAGTAAATTGTTTCTCTCTCTCTCTTCGAAAGCTACCTACACAGTCCACAGTTGCTATTATATGATTTTTAAACCACATGTGTTTCTTTCCTTTATCTTTTTATTTTTTTTATCAGTTGGTTAGTAAATTTAACAAAACTGATTCATTATAGTTGCAAAGGAATAATCAAGTAGCATGTCTTCTGTAGTTTCTACTTCCCAGCATGAAAATGTAAAATAGTAATAAGCTGTCAAAAGCCCAAGATGTAAAATAACATATATCCAATATGATATGTAGAAAATATGTTGGTGATAAATCATTTTGTAACCTAGCTGAATGTTTTATTTACTAATATATTTTCAGGAAATCCCAACATTTCTGTTTACTAATGTTCTTCACATCAGTAAAGACCTTGCAATTCACAAAATGTATTTTGGGAAATTTAAGATTAGAAGTTTTTAATGGATTGTTTTATCCAGATTTTTACCACTCTTGTAATTTTTTAAACAGGATACCTTGCATGGGTCAGATCATCTCAAGTACAAAGAAGCTTCTTAATACAGTTTCAAAGGGTATAGGAAGGAAGAGATTTATACGTGGAATAAACTGGTCTGCAAATTATTACAAGACAGTTATAAAAGGGAGAGTAGAGATTTAAATGTCATACATCAGATGCCAGGATTGTACTTACGGATTTGTGTCCACCTCAATTTTGCAGACATAAAAATGTCCATTGCGGAGTTCTTTGTTTCTGCACAGTACTGAGTAACCTCTTAATTTTAAAATGGAAATATATTTAAAATTATGCCATTGGAGACATTTGATTTCATTGCTCTTTAAAACACATTCATTCCAAAACCAGATCAGTTCAAAGAAGAAACCATGCTATTTACCAATAGCTAGAAGATCCATTAAAATGTATTTGTAAGGCTGTGTGAATTGACTGATAATTTTTACTATAGAGCTTGGCCTCAAAACAATTGTACTGTAAAGAATATGCTGCTCACCAAGGTTCTCTCCTGATGTCACTCTCATTTTAAGATCTCTTATTCAAATGTCCCTATGGTAATAGAGGTAATAGTTGGGACTGGGATTGATGTCGTATGTTGATACAATGGCAATCCAGCATGCCCCACTGCAGTTGTTAATCATGAATTATGGGTTGTTAAGTGACTACCTATGCCAGTCAAAGCCATCGTGGTCCTGATCACTCCCAGCCCCAAGCCTTAGTAAGGTAAGAAGCTGCGTCCAACTCACCCTACCCAACCTGTCTCACCTCATCTCTGCCCTTTGGCCAACTTGCACTCTGCCTTGTGACTCATCAAGCAGCCTCAGAAGTGTGGCTCTGGAGCTGTTTGCCATGTTCCAATAACCTGTGTCCCACACCAATTTAATCCCACCTGCAATCAGCCTTGCTATCCTGCACTACAAGACCCCTGCTGCCCTGTGCTGCATCATCCCAGCTCAGCTTCATTTTCTTGCTCCCGTTGCTGACAAGGCATGCCTGGCTCACCCTGACTGCTGGGCCAGGCTAGGCTTCAGATGCAGAAAAAAAAAGCTGAAAGTAATCTTTGAGTGGCAACACACTAAAATACTCTTTTGTAAAAAGTTTCTGGAGCTCAGTGTGCCAAAATGTCGCTTTGGGCATAGCTGCCCTGCCATACATTCTTCAGTTGATCTCTGTTCTTTGATGTTGAGCTGGAAAAGATGACTTCAAAGCACCCGTCAATCAGCTGAGTTTAATGACAGCGCCCATTCATTTCACCTGGTCTTCATGCCAAGAACTTATGCTGTCCCATGTATCATGCCCATCTCCAGCCTACTGCTTCATCCACCATGAGACTGGTAGCCAGGAAAACAGAGTGGAACGATGGGCAAGAGAGGTGTTTCAGAGATTAACTCTTGCCCTGCCAAAATCTACCTGGCTTCCAGTCCTCTTGTGAGGGGCCTTCTCATCTCTAGCTGTTCTCTTTCTAATCCTGATCCATGGCTGATTTTTATGAATATAGAAAGGAGGGGCCTTTTGGTGCATCCCACTCCAGGAGCTTTTTTTTTTTACAAAGCGTGTTTTTGGCACATTGCTACTCAGGGAGTGCTTTTTGGCTTTTTTTCCTTTCTTTCTGCAGCTGAACCTCCGCCCAGCAGCCAGGCCAAGCATGCCTCAGCAGCAGCAGGAACAAGAAAATGGAGAAGATGAGCTGTGCAGTCGAAGCACAGGGCTGTAGGGATCTCAGAGTATAGGGTGATGTGGGCAACTGCTGGGACTGGGCTGGGGTGGCTGCGGTTTTCTGAGGCCGTTTGCTAACTCACAAGATAGAGTGCAGGATGGCCATAGGGCAGACATGGGAAAAATAGGTGGGTTGAGGAGACGGAAAACCTTTGTGGTCATAAGAGCAGGCAGGCTGCCAGTTGCCTGAGTTTTGAACCCATGACCAGAGAGGTACTACAATGGCCATAAACTTCAGGCACAAGTCATAAGTGCAGTTTTTCAATAATGTAAATGTACTTATAAGTCAAGAATTACTTGTACTGTTTGTTTATTTTAAAATAAGAAACATGTGTTGCCATAGTGTGGGAGCTTGTTCCTCAGTTTCAATGATACAGTTTTGAGGCAGTCCTGAAAAGAAAGTGCTGGGGTCTTTTATAAGATCTACACACCACACATTGCATATCACTGAATTTAACCTTTGGAAGCTGGCATCCATAATGCATTTTGTTTCATCAGTTTTCTTGAAGAAAATCAAAGTCTCTGTGGAAAGAAAGTTTTGAAACTTTCTCCTAAAGCATTTATGACCTACTGCACTAGTTTTAACGCTAAAGCAAATTATTTCCCCTATTGTCCAGTGACAACTAGCAGAGTTGTGTTCCTTATCAAAACTGACACCTGTAGGTATTTTTCCAACAGTTCCTTTGTTTTTTTCTTCATAATCTGCTGAGAAAAGTGCTTAGGTATGTTCTTCCTGGTGCAGTTGCCCCATTACAAAAGGCAGTATTAAAGGGGAAAATAAATCATCTTTTCTATTTTTTTATAATAAACTTTCTCTTTACCAAGCAGTTGGAATCTTTGAAATATTAAACAACCTTGTACAAAATTAGACAACTGAAATTAATAATATTTCATATCTTTCTTTAAGGGGACAATATATTTTTAGAAACAAACCACCTGATGGGATAATACCACCAAATTCATTCTACAGAGCACTTTATCCCAAAATTATACAAGATATAGAGGTAAGAATCAGAGGAAACACATGAAGGAAGTAGCTGGGTAGCATGGGGTATAAATCCTTAATTTGGGCTCATTTGGAATGCTGCTGTGACTTTCCTACATCCAGCCAAATGTCTTATGCGTTTGCATAGAGTTAAAAAGGAATATATAGCCTATACATTTTCCTAAAAATCATGTTACTTCACATAAACATGCATTAGTTTGCTTTTGAATCACTTATATATCTTGTAGGCTAGATCAATTTATAATTAGTATCTCTATTCATTGCACAGTGTTCAGATACTTTGGTCCAGACATACACAATCTGTGGCCTCTCAAATTTTTAGGTGCAACTTTTTATTTTATGATGAAAACTTGGCAAAGAGAAGTAAATATGTACACACAATCCATGTAATTATGTACAAAATTTCTTTGGGGCTATGGCAGCGGCCTCATAACTGGATATCCAATTCAGCTATCTAGGCAATCGTCTTTAAAGAACCAGAGAACGCACGTCATGGGGAGTTTTGCACAATATGGTTAATAGTTTGCATATCAGCACCACAGTCACACCAACGGGAATCTTTCCACCCCCATTGATAGAGGCCAGAGACATTTCTTCCTGTGTCGCATCTAATTCTGTTCAGTTTTGTCCAGACAGAGTGAGGCAGGTTAAAACTAGGTAGTTTGGTAGACGGATTACTAATGGCCAGGGTCTAGAACAACTCATGCAGCCAACTCACCACAGGACAATCCACACAAAATAAATCAGTGTGATAAATGTTATCCGCCATTGTTTCTTCTGCATTATTTCTATTTTTGTCAATTGAAATAATGTAGAAGAAATAGTGGTGGATAATATCGCACTGAGTTATCCAGCATGGAATTGTCCCGTGGCAAGTTGGCCACAGCAAGATGGCTGCAGCGAGATGGCCACACTGAGTTGTCTCATTCCAAATGGCCAGGTCACAAGAAGATAACTTGGACCATTTTTCACTTCAGGCATTCTTGGAGTTAGACTGGGTAAATGTTAAGTGAATAGGTGCAACTTCAAAGCCTCTTTAAATGTTTCAGATTTTGTTTTTGTTATGTCAATATGGCAAATTATTAAAAATTGAAAATAATCACAATAATAGTTTGCCCTAGCTTTGTCCGTTTTTTGTGCTGGGGTCCCCAGCATGCAACTCAAAGACCAAGAAGAGCATTTGTTCCAGACTCCTACTTTAGTATTAAGAAATTAATTTAGAATTGGAGTGAAAATTAGAAATATATAACCAGAACAACCTTATAATTGTGAATAAAATTATATAAATGATGTACTTCAATAATTCTTCCATGCTTATTGTAAATAAAAAATGGAAAATATGAGAATTGTCGAATTCCCTATTTATTATTTCATTTATATTCTACATTTTTAAGACTACAGGTATTGAGAAAGGACATGGATCTTAAAAGTATATAAAAGTCAGTTTTCCATGCATACCCTACATTAACAATACTATATTTTTGATAGTTGGTGCTTTTGATTTTTAGAAATGACAGTGAAATTTTAGAAGGATTTAATACATTGTGAAAGCTAAAGATTGGGAGGGGAAACATTTGAGAGTATCTAATGATAAATAGGCTCAGCATTAAAGCCTCTTCTCTTGTCCCATGAGTGTAGCAATGTAAAATTTCCATGATATTTGTTCCACACTTTAAAATTGTTTTTCTCTCTTCCCCAGACGATAGAATCAAACTGGCGTTGTGGAAGGCACAGCTTACAAAGAATCCACTGCAGGAGTGAAACTAGCAAAGGTGTTTATTGTTTACAGTATGATGACCAGAAAATAGTGAGTGGTCTACGAGACAATACTATCAAGGTGAGAGTTCCCTGGTGTGCAATTATGGAATACAAAATCTATTCTGTAAGAGAATGCCAGCATAATAATGGAATTGACCTATTCCTCAAAAGAACGTGAAGTGTAACTTAATTTGGAAGAAGAAGTGCATGAGGAAAAACTAGCTTCCATACCCTGTCTCAGCAAGTTTGACTTAAAAATATATTCATTTTCTTTTATCAGTTTCAAATAAGGAGGATACATCTATAATATCAGCTTCATTTTCTTGTGTTATATTCATGGCTAACCATATTATTGGTCCTTCAGTAATTAAAGTCTTTCTGTTCCCTAATGAGAAGAGTAAATACAATGTTCATATTAAAAACAGAGATATTAAGGATAGTTTATATTGCTCCAAAGTGCCTGTGGAATACAAAGTGTGTTGTGTGCTACTTAAAGAAGTTCTGTTTGCCTTAGTAAAGAAAGTGCTGTGTTGCAGGAAACAGAAGAGACAATATAGCAGTACAGTCTGTTATTTTGTGATAAAATCTTAGTGTTCTGTTGTTTTCCTAGATCTGGGACAAAAATACCCTAGAATGCAAGAGGATTCTGACTGGACACACTGGGTCAGTCCTTTGTCTCCAGTATGACGAGCGAGTAATCATCACTGGATCATCAGATTCCACTGTCAGGTAGCTATCTATTTATTTAAAAATGTATTTATTCTGTCTTTCTAACTAATATAAACACCATGGCAGCCTACGTCATTGTGATTAATTAGAGTGAACATTTTTATTGATATAGTCTGCTGCCAACAAGCAAAACAGATAAAAGAAATTAAAGGAATTATTAGTATTGGTATTTGCATTTCTATTACACCTGTACTAATTATCCCCACAACAGCAATTCCTGGAGGTACGTTGGGCTGAGAGAATAAGTAGTTCAAAGTCATCCAGTGAATTCCATAGTCAAGTGGGGCCTTGAACTTGAGTCTCCCTAGTTCAGCTCAAACATTTATCTACTTATTATATTGGTTCCACCAGCTAAGTGTCACTAAAAACTTTGGTATGCCATAAAAGATTGTAATTTATGCTTAAAAAATGATCACATTATGAATAAAGCTTGGTTGGAGACATCTGTATCCTCTTAAGAACTAACACTGAGAAAATGTTGTCCCCCAGTAGTTTCTGATTTCCAAAAAAAAAAAAAAAAGCAAAAGAGCAAGCAGTCTATAAGATACCTAAACCTTGAACCACCTGTAGCTTTAAGACAAGCATTGTTACTTATGATCCAAAAACTGGTTTCCAGTGCTATACTTGAGGTACTTGTATAATATCTTACTTGTGTGTTGTACTTAATGAGTTGTGTTAACGTTTCCAAGCATTATACATAGGTATTCTTTTATAGTTTATAATGCATTGTGGTAATCTTAGAGGTAGACCTTGACTTGCGACCATTCATTCAGCAGTTGATCATAGTTACAAAATGCTGAATGAATTGTAGTTACAATTGGTCCTTGGAGCTCCAGCCATCCCACAGTCCCATGGTCATGTGATCATGAACCGGTGCTTGGCAACTGACTCATACTTATAACTCGTTGTAGTGTTCTGTGATCATGTGATCACAATTCCAAACCCAATCACAATTGCAAGTCAAGAACTACCTATACTTCAGTTCAGTCAAAGCAAGAAATTGTCACGCATGAGTGAATCTAAGAAGCTTCATGTGTTTATAACAATAGAATCATGTGTATTTCTTTCACAATACTGTTAGCCCCATATTGTAGATGATGAGAGGCATTAGGGAGAGGGATATGGCCGAGAGAAGAGTTCTTTGCAACTTTCTAGCGAGTTCATGTCTAAAGTGAATTTTGAATTGTGAGATTATTTGGCTTACAATTCTGAGTATGGTACAGTTTCTATGCTGAATTGATTGCATTGGTTCCTCAAGTCAAACTTCATTCTGAAACAAAAAAGACAGGAGGTATTTATAAAGGTGGAAAAAATGTCACATGCTTTTATTAAAATAAGCTGGAAAATGAGAAGCTTAAATCCTGGATTTCAGACTTAACAATGAATATCACCATATGTGTACATAAATATAACTATCCTTAAGAAAATGTGAGCATATTAACTGAATCTATAAATTTTTGCTTATGTACAGCAGGCTATAAAATATGCTAATTTTAGATACTTATATTTTAGATACTAAGAAAAGAATTCAATTTTTACATGCAATTTTAATCGTCCACTTAAAGTATTTAGAATTTTTCTATAGCCAATAATTTAGAAAATAGAAGAAAGCCTGTTTGACTCACTGGCAGTCTGCATCTATTGTCTGCCCTTCCTCCTGTGTAAATTTCTGTATATTGTTAAACTATCCACTTTGGAAACTTGATGGAGAAAAGAAAAGAAAGAAATCACTAAGTACAGAAGATCCTTTTCATCTATTAATGTTGCCCATATTCTTTTCTACAATAATTTTTAAAATTAATATAAAAGCTCTAGAACAGGAGTGTCAAATTGCCAGCCCACAGGCCAGACGCATCATCTGGAAGCCGCGCCCACCCCATTGCCGGCAATGGCAAAACCGTCCTGATATGTTGTGCGACATCACGTGACATCACGAGTTTGACATTTCTGCTCTAGAATAATAACTTCTAGAGAAGCATTCAGATGCTGCATAATTCCCACAAGTACAGAAACTCACCATTTGTTCTGAAGTTAGAAGTTCTTGAAACACTATATATCAAACCACTTAGTTAAAAAAATGTTTTCATTTGCCCTGTTCAGTCAGTATGGTATTAACAGTACTGTAGGGTTATTTTAAATTTGGTGGTCTCTATCCCAAATGATTAATAGAAAAATTAAATTTGATTCAAACATGAGCTTAGTCAAAGGTTCATGATACAGTGTTGACCAGATTATGTCCTTTGTTACTTATGATTATGTTTTTAAAATGGATATAAGAATGTCCTATCTCACAATATTATTCAGATAAAGAATGTATTTTATTGTATTTCTTTTTAATTTCACACATGCTACTTAAACTATTCCTCTCAAAGTAAGCTTAAAGGCTGACATGTAACACATTTTTTCAGGACATTTGTGATACATCATGTAGTGATAGGAAGCTTATAATTACTATGAAAAACTCATAGTCTTCTTTTTTCCACCTTCTCTTTTGTCATGAACTCCAGAGTGTGGGATGTAAATACTGGTGAGATGCTCAACACGCTGATCCATCATTGTGAAGCAGTACTGCACCTGCGCTTTAATAATGGGATGATGGTGACATGTTCTAAAGATCGTTCCATTGCTGTGTGGGACATGGCCTCCCCAACAGATATCACTTTACGAAGGGTTCTGGTTGGACACAGAGCAGCCGTCAATGTGGTAGACTTTGATGACAAATACATCGTGTCAGCATCAGGGGATAGAACTATAAAGGTGCAAACCTTGAAATCAGTATGATTTTGAATATGTATTTATTTATTGTATTTCTTTCATTAATATTCTACCTTTAACTAAGGAACACAGTGAATAGGTAAGATTTGAAAGAATATGTCATTGTCCTAAAGTCAGTCCATAAACTAAGTCACAATTTATTGCACTCTCCTTAATAGCAGTAGCACTTAGACTTATATACCGCTTCACAGTGCTTTACAGCCCTCTCTAAGCGGTTTACAGAGTCAACATATTGCCCCCATCAATCTGGGTCCTCATTTTATCGACCTTGGAAGGATGGAAAGCTGAGTCAACTTTGAGTACTCAGAATTGAACTCCTGGAGTGAACAGTGAGTTAGCCTATAGTACTGCATTCTAACCACTGCACTGCATTCTAATCACTTGCTACACTCAATCCCAATCCAACACTAACCACTCCATCACTCTGGTTCTATTATCAGTATAAATCTTTCTCATACAAATACCAATTGTATATGTAATATTTCCAGATAATCATTTTTCTTCTTTGTGCTTCTTTTATAGGTATGGAACACAAGTACCTGTGAGTTCGTTCGTACCTTAAATGGCCACAAGCGAGGCATTGCATGTCTACAATATAGAGATAGATTAGTTGTCAGTGGTTCATCTGATAATACAATTAGGTATGAAGCATAGGATTAGCACTGACTTTTGGGGAGGGGATGAGTCAAGGCAAACGGGTCTGCATATAACAGTGATATATCTAAATACCAATTTTGCCCAACTAAAAGCTAGTTTGACGTGTGTGTGCACATGGATTTTTTCTGTATTTATCGTACTTTATTTTAGAATTGAAGCATTAGGTTACATTGTATGAAAAGTTGTTGTTTGGAATACTCGTGTTCTCTCACTTTCTGGCACATTTGCTACACTCATTAATATGAGATTGCATTTATGCATGAAAAAAGTTGGATTTGCATTAAAAGGTTTTAGTACAGTTCTTAAATCCAATTAATAGCTACCAGGTTATATTTTTTTCTCATAGCACTTGTCCTTAAGCCCCTTTTGAAACAGGTGGCCTGGATTCAGGAAGTCCACTTGCTCTGCCTTCACTGGAAATAATCCAAGCATCAGTCCATTCCATACTACAAAGATTGCAGTTTTGAGATGTTGATCAAATGATAATTGGATGGGTTTTGATAGGAAGGCAAAATCTACTGCTTGGAAGTGATTGTGAATAAGGAAGTGAATAAGTGAATTTTGCAGTCTCTTCCTATTCAATCCAATTTACTAATTTAAAAGCTATCTTAATATTTTAAATGCGCTGCCTCTCTACAGGTGCAAGTTTTTCCCCAATCCAGTCTTTCTTGTAATGTAAATCATGATTCCATTTTTATTGGAAAACATTCTTCTCTTTAGGTATTCTTCTTTCCATCAATGAAATGTCCCAATCCTTGTCATGTTTCATAGACAAACGTGCTTTCCAGTGTTGGCATAGAGCTTCTACACTAGCCATGCATAACATGATTTCAAGCTTGCTTTGAACTGATGCTTAAGGTCAATTTTAAAAAGTTACTACTAGCAGTCTAAAGCTGACCATTTCATTGAGTTATAAGTATTGTTAAGGTTACTCTAATTATTAGGCTCATCTTTTTGTGTAATCCTCTGGAATTAATATCACAGAGATTGTGAAATAGGTTTGTTTGATGCTATTATCTTGGAAATGTAATAGTAGATTTTGCCAATCATTTTTATTTAGGAAAAAGAATCAAACAGGATAAACCTAAAAGTTTAAAATTTGGAAAACACGAACACTAGTAGTAACCCAACCAAGAAACAGTTAAATATTGTGGACCTTGGAAAAGCAACTAGAGGTACCACATACAGTAAAATAAACTAATATAAATGTCAATATGGTAATAAATTTAAAGAGGAATACAATTATTTTTCTGCTTACATGGAATAAAAATCTTGTGCTGAAATTTTGCTGCAGTTGGCAGTTGTATCTCAGCAGAAATCAGGTTGAGTACATAGTTGACCTATATGCTTCTTAGAGTTAATATTCAAACATTTGTTTGCAGAGTGTTCCTTCCATCCCTCTTGCCTTTTGAAAGTGGGTTGTAAATGTTTTGAGTATAATTTCAGTATTCTGTATTACTTCCTCACTCTTCTTTAAATAGGTACTATAGTTTTTTTAACAGAATCAACATGAAATCTCAAAAGCAGAATGAAATTTAATTCTCTAGAATTCAGTGACCAGAGCCAAATGTGAGGAATGAATGGCTAGACACTGTTATTTAATGCTACAGTTCCTGTTAAGAGTTAGCTAGAAAGAGCAAGGTAATGGGCCAAACATGAGCTATTAATAAAATCATAATCAGTCTACCAGAATTTATGTCACTACACTAAATTTGGCTAGCATCATAAACTATCTTTACATATTTACTTTAGAATAGTTGAAGTGGATATGATAACTGTTTCCCTATATGCATTTTTGGCAAGAATGGCCCTAGTGTCAGAAAAATTATCCTGATCATTTTTCATCAACATTAAAACCTATTTTATAGGGAGAAGCACTATTAAAGCAAAAAGATAGTTCTGCCATAGGCTCAACTAATAAAACTGAACTCCATCTGCTTAAAAAATCTCCTGAATATCTCTCTACACAACTAAGTTTCTTCTAGTTACTCTTTTTTCTTTTACAAATTCCCACAAATACCTTACAGACCTTAAAAGTTGCATTTCAGGGGACTTTCAGAGAGTAGAAATGAAGTAAAAGTGAACTATTTTTCACAAATACTTTTAGTTCAGTCAGTTATATAACCATTTACTCCAGGGATCATAAAATGTATAACAACTGTCTTTTTATTCATAGGTCATAAAATGTATAATAGCACCTGCTCCCCTAGAGCAACAGTCCTATATACTTGAATTACAAACCCCTAATTTTAGTATTCTCTTTTAAATAACTGGTCTGCACTACCTAATTATAGATTTTGTTATGCCAGATTCATATGAGTAACAAGTCAACTTTTAGTTGTATTATAGTGGATACTGAACTACAAGCATTCTAAGTGCACTATACTCAGATTCATAAGAACGTGATATAAGAATTATCATTTTATTATGTATCTGCCATTGCAGTTGTGGTAATATGTTCCTTTCTTTCAATTTCACTAATAAATAACAGATGCAATTTTAGACACTTGTGAAGAAGCTCCAAACATGATCATCACATGTAATGCAATTTGACAGTAACCGAAGAGTTTACCCAAGTTGACAAGCATGTTTCAAGAAAGAATAGTCATTTTAGATGTAATTGTAGAGGAAGCTCCCATTTCAGTGTCTTTTCACTAGCAAACTCAGTTTCCAGCAAAAAATATACTATTGTCTAATATGAAAATGTTATCTCAAGTTTATATGGGCCATTATTGGCCAATTTATCTGGATTCAATTATGTATTGTCAGTCATTTAATCCTAATAGCAACTCAAATAGTGACTTAAAATCACCTATTTCTGAAATTGCTGGATATGAAAAAAGTTGGCTTTTGCATTAGACATTGATATTTTCTGGATACAAAATAGGAATTTAGATATATTCAAGTTCTCTCACTTAAGTGTTTATTAAGCAGGTTCAATTTGCAATTTGTAATTCAATTATAGAATTTTAAAAATATAATGATTATTTCTCTTGTGTTCCAACAGGTTATGGGACATTGAGTGTGGGGCCTGTTTGCGGGTTTTGGAAGGCCATGAGGAACTGGTGAGATGCATTCGTTTTGATAGCAAGAGGATAGTCAGTGGAGCCTATGATGGGTGAGCATGTAATGATGAGATACATATCTCATGAATACCTTATTTGCTTATCCTTAACTGACTTAAAACCCGAAAAGTAGAAATTTAAAAATACCTTCTGAAAAACAATTCATCAAAAAATAATCTTCCTGCAATGTATACTGCAAAAAAGAAAACAATTTGATTCATTTTAGTAGTAGATTTAAAAATGGGAAGAAAGCATGTTACAAATTTGGCAGAATCATTAGCTATAATAATACAACTTTGTAATTTATCAACTTTTTTAGTATTCTCATTGACATATTAGTGATACCAACAAAAGAATGAGGTGATGTTTATATACAATTGTTGGAATATTCAAAATATCTAATTTGCATTCATATCATTTTTATCTGTATTGCATCTATTATTTCTTATTTTCCTACTGATCTTTTGTGCCCATTAAACAATTGCTTTCAAAACTGTTTATGAAATCCAGATTCAACTTCATTGTAGATTCTCAACTCCGAATCAGCTTTTCATTGTGACAGACTGATTAACTTGCCATTCTGCTGGAAACTGTCCTCCAAAATAATAGTTTTTTAGCTTAACTGTGCTGTAGTGGCGCAATAGTTAGAATGCAGTATTGTATGTTGACTCTACCCACTGGCAGGGGGTCTATGACAACTCACTACGGGCCAACTCCCCACAGAACAACTTGCCATGGGACAACTTGCCATGGCCAACTCACCCGGGCCAACTCGGTACGGGAGAACTCGTTGCAGTGCAAGAGTTACACCAGTATCAAAGAAATGGTGGAATAGAATAATTAAAGAATGGCTGCAAAAGGAGAGACAAATGAAATGTGAATGTGACAAAAATGTGACAACAATTAAAATATTTTTTAATTTATTTTAAATAAATTTAATTGTTAAATTGGCCTGCGGTTAGTTGTCCTGCGGTGAGTTGGACAATAGCAAATTGTCCCACAGCGAGTTGGCCATGACAAGGTGGCCTCAGCGAGTTGTCTGTGGCAAGTTGTCCCATTATTCTGCTAGGAGTTCAATCCTGATCAGCTCAAGGTTGACTTAGCCTTCCATCCTTCCGAGATCGGTAAAATGAGGAGCCAGATTGTTGGGACAATATGCCAACTCTGCAAACCTCTTAAGAGAGTGCTGTAAAGCACTATTGCTGTTGCTATTCTAGTGCTTTACATTTATATTACACAACTTCCTTTTTCTGAGATGAGCTGTTATGCTTAGACCCATTGGTGTGGAGCAGCTTAATTTATTTAACGTTTTCATATATTTTTTTATATATATTTTACTGAAATTTTATAAAAAATAAAATATGAAAACTGGGAAAAAAATTAAAAGTGAAAAAATAGGGAAGGGAAAAATGCAAAGAATAAGAAAATGTGGAAAAAATAAGAAAAGATAACTTTCAACTTTCTTTGATACACTTGCAACATAAAATACATTAACCTTTTTCTTTAATCAAAGTAGTTAATTTTGCCATCTCAGCCAATTTCATTAACTTCACCATCCAATTTTCTGTTGTGGGAATCTGTAGGCCTTTCCATTTCTTCACATACAAAAATCTCGCTGATGTTACCATATATAAAAACAAAGTCTCATGTTTTTCCTGGTTATCCATCAAACCAAAAGAAAAAACTCTGGAGTTTCCATCTATACTTTTTGATGAGTTTAGAAAGATGAAAATATTCTTCTTTCTAGAACATCATATTTACTATTGGAACAGAGAAAGAGAAGCCTCTGTTGAAGAGTCAGAGCTACATGCACAACAAAATAATATACAGGTTATTTGAAAGAAATTAACCTGGGCAAAAATGTCAAAGAGACTGCATGCAATTTTATATGTCAAAATGATTATTCAGACAAATCAGAAAGCTACTATAGAAAGCCAACATAGGTCTAGTTAGGCTAGAAAGCAGGAGATTATAGGTTTTACTCCCATTTTAAACATGAAAGCCAGCTAGGTGATCTTGGACCAGTATCTCAGCCCAACTGACTTCACAGGGTTGTTGTTATGGGGAAAATAAAGGAGGAAAAAGGTATATTGGATATGTTGTTCTTTGCCATGAATTATTTGTATAATTAATAAAGGTGGAATACAAATAAATAAAGTGCCACAGAAAACATGTATTTTTAAAATCTACAAAATTCTTATCAGTACTAACCAGAATGCTGACATACCAGATGTACTATGCAATAACATATGAGGGCAACTTGGAAATAAACCTCCATTTGGTTATCAATGACAGACACTCGCAGATACAGAAATTTTATTATACACATTAGAAAACTACAACATTACATTAATTTTCAACGTAATCGCCATTCAAATTGAGGCACTTGTCATAACGTCTTACAAGGTTTGAAATTCCTTAGTAGTAGTTGCTCAATGCCCAATCTGGGCTATAGGGGGAGTGATCAAAAACATCCCAACGGAACTTGGGTGCATCTAGTGGTGTGCGGGCAAGCATCATCGTGAATCAACACCATACCAGAAGTGGTGCCATAAAAAATCCTGCCAAATGCGAAGATGCCCAAGGAGTGTGGTTCGATCATCAATTCAGAAGTCTACTGTGAAACGTTATGAAAACTCAGACCAGCCATCCATAACAAGCATCGGGGCATGCTGACTTCCTATGTGGTGTTCGTTCACGATAATGCTCACCCACATACCACTAGATGCACCCAAGAACATTTGAAGCAGTTCTGTTGGGATGTTTTCAATTTGACACCTTTTTATGTATTTGTTAAATTTATATCCCCTACCCTTTTCCAAGAGCTCAAGGTAGCAAGCATAGTACTCTCTTCTCCAGTTTTCCCCACAAAACATCATGCGAGATAGGTTGGACTGGCCTGAAGCAACACAATAAAACTTTAGGACTGAGAGGGAGCTTGAGTGTGGGTCCTTGTCTAACGTTTCCCTCCACTAACTTTTTATGTTTGACTTGATTGTTGCTGAAGGTGCTTCCAGTTGGGCTTTTTAATGTCACATGGGAATTACGTGGAGCAGCTACACAGGTTGTTTATTCTTTGATCATTAGGCTAAGTTTCAGCACCCTTTAATTTTTTTTTCTGATAGCATAGTACCATGTTTCCCTGAAAGTAAGACCTATCCCCCAAAAATAAGACCTGGCCAAAAAAAAATAAGACTGGATCTTATTTTCGGGAAAACATGGTAAGTCATGTAGGCAGAACAGAGACTTAGAGTAGAAAGGCAAATTTCTGAAGAAATTTATACTTCATGTACTTCTCTCTTATAGATTTAAGGAGATTATTTTAACTGAGGTACATATCCCCCCTCTGGAAGATAATTAATTATTAATTTGACTTTAGGGGGTTGTGTTGAGGACAGTTAATTTTACCTTATACTTGATTTTTAAGAAAATTGTATGTATGTTTTTTTTTCCTTATTAGAAAAATTAAGGTCTGGGATTTGTTAGCTGCGCTTGATCCCCGTGCCCCTGCTGGAACCCTCTGCTTGCGCACTCTTGTGGTAAGAACTGTGTTCTAATCTATAATGAAATTTCACCTGGTTTGGTGAATAACAGGAAGGAGGAGTTAATAGGCAATGTAAGTCTCCATTGTTTATTAAACTACAGCTTCTTTAGTATCTTAGATAGGCTGACCAAAAGACAGTGGTTCAAAAATTTTTGGAATTCATCACTTCATAAAGAGGAAAAGATGCAGAATACCAAGGTGGAAGAGTGGTATCATAACAGAATTTGGGACTTCGATTCAATAAAGATAAAACATGTATTTGTAATTCTCACACGTCCAATTCTGGAATGAGGTTAGGAATTAAGCAGAGGAAAAGCACTGTTGTATAACTTAAGACCTAATTATAGAAGAGATTGCCCACAACCTGGCATGCAAAAAGAATATTACTATTCAAATTCCAGAAGCAAAAGAGGAAATTTGAAAGAGTGAAATTTGGAATCCAGAATGAAATAAATGAAAGAATTTCCACAATCAAGTTGCAAGAGTGGCCAATCATATAAGCAATAGTTGCTTCCAGTATTATGATACTCCCACATAGAGAGATCTATACTGAAGACTGTAACTATTTTTTTTTTTTACTTAGTTGGTGCTTATCAAACCTGATTTGGCTACAAAGACCATCCACTTACATTGAGCTAGTATAAAATACCCTATTTTAGAACTTAATAGTTATTTTCAGCTTTTTGATAAGTTAGTTCAGTGCCACACAGCTAGGATGAGTGTCTGTATAATCTAGATCAAGTCCTGGGCAGATGGTCGCAAGCTAGAGGGGAATTATTCTAGCCTGGGTCTTGTGCTTAGGTTTGGCTCATTTGTTACAGACGACGTGGTGAGATCAACTGACCCATCTTCTTCTTCTGAAGTTTCTTCCTCTGATGAGAATAATGTATATCCATTGTTGTATAGAAGTAAACCACTTTGTCAGAAGTCAAATTTCATGGAATAGACCAAATCAGTAGCATTTGCCCAATATGCCTAAATATATTTTCATCATCCACAAGTGATGAAGGCAAGTGGAAAAAAACAACCACTTTGTTTTGTCTTCTAATGGAGAGGTTTAAATGTGTGGGAAGCAGAGTAGAATTCATTAAGCATAAATGAGGTGCTAGGGGAGTCAGTATCCATTACCCTTGAGTGATTATGTTCACACTTCAGCTGAGACTGAATTGTGAATCCTGCTGCTCATGGCTAAGCTGCTAAGGTAAACAAACCCTAAGATTTCATTGCTTCATTAAAGTTGTCTCCTACTTTTATCCAAGGAAGGATAGGCAGAAACATTTAAGTTTTAGATGTTTACACAATTTGGGAAAATATATTAGCCATTGTTCTATTATCTTCAGTATCTGGAATTAAACTTGTGTTGTCCAATGAACTAAATATTTGTTTTTGTTTTCTTGTTCAATTTTTAGGTAGTGTGGATAGTCCATATAAAAATGTACATTGCACAAGAATATAACAAATGCTTTCTTGAATGAGACCAATGAAAGGGCCAAGATTTTAGCAACAGCAGGAGTTAGTTATTATAGTGTGGTTCAAATTCTTTCTTATGTATTCAGTTCTTAATACTTTGAATATTTTGACATTTTTAGCAGGAAATGAATTGCTAGCCAAGGAACGGTGGTAACTTGATTTCGCTAGTATATGTTGGAAAAACAGAATGGCTAATGAAATCATGCAGGAATAATAAAATGCAGAAATAGAATAACAATATTCTCTCAACATACTAAACATGGATATATGAAAAATGGAAATATGTTTTACATTTTGTAAGATTGTTTTCTGTGGCTGCAATTCAAAAGAACAAAACCTGAACCAGTTCAAGTTCAAAACCTGAACCATTGATACATTTTGAGCATTTCAGCCATAGAAACAAGCCTGTTGACTCTCTTAATTTCATCTAGAATCACTGAACAGATAAGATGTAGCAATTCATGCTTGGTGCTACCAGCAAACCAGCTTGGAAAAAGATTGGCAAAGGGGAAATATTAAATATTTCTGAAATTTCCCATTATGAAAGCAATTTGATTAATTTTTTCCATATGCTGCATTGTGCCTTCCTTGAACTCAGGTTCAAATGTATGTATTTCATTTTTTGTCCTTGGTATATAATAATTGAAAGAAAAGTAAGGAAAGTTTACTAGGCTAGATCAGTGTTTTTACTTAATATTAAGAAGAAAAAGATTATAGAGACCTTAACCTTTCATACACCCTTTTCAAATCAGTTATATCCTTCAGGGCAATAGGATATCATGAAAAAAAATGAATTCCAGTCAACCCATTGACACAAATGAGGTAATTTTCAAAAATGTTTTAAGATAAACTTCATCTTAATCTAAATTGTCATCTAAACCTAACCTTGCATGAAATGACAAATATGCATTTCTACCCCAATAGTTCATTTTGCAGATGTACCTGTTTTGGCAGCCTGCTATCAGCTGGCTGCCAAAAACAAATAAAAAGGAATTATACTTTCTGCCTGGTGGAATGAGAACATTAATAAAACGAAGATGTGTTGCTGCCCAGGAAAGAGGCCACGCCCTGGAAGTACCAGGGCCACATTTACACTGCAACAAAAAGAGCAGTCATGCATACTACCTTGCTCGGCAACCAAAAGTGCTAAAGACATACAAGAATTCTAGCAAACAGGTCAAACCACTAAGTTCAAACATGCTTTTGCAGCACAATCCACCATAGACTGCATCAGCACTGCAGAAGAGCCCACACAGTGTGCTTAGCAGGCCATCCGGCATACAACGGTAATATTTTAAAATATATTCTGAGGTTTCCACAAACTAAAAGCTGCAAACAAAGGAATGAATATGAATATTCAAATAGCTGAGCATAGCACTTTGGGAGGGGAAAGTCGAGCAAATTAGTGGCTTGATGAATTTAAAAGAGGATGTGCATTCTGTGTATGCTCTTTTGTCCTGCTGTCTGCAAAGTGTTTAGAATGTTTTTGAATATGAAGACTAACTGCTTATATAAATGTATCGTGAATCTCAGGAAAAAAAGAGTATGCACAGAATGTACATGTGCCTAAGGTCACATCATACTAATTTGTTCTTTTTGCATTTACAGTTGATAATATTTGCTGAGTAAGATGAGTATGAAAAGCACATCCTCACAAAGGGACAAAATACACATTTGGTATTACTTTTAGTGTTTGCTATGTACTGTTATATCTAGTATCTAGCATTCCTTTTACTTTTACAGGCCTACGTATCAATCTGCTCACCTGAAGACAGGATTCGCCATGAGATTCTTTACAAAAACCAGCAGTAGCTCAGCTTCCAGGCTTAAGAGAGCGGCGGGGGGGGGGGAGAGGAGTGTTATAGCTTCAGGGGTAGTGAAGTTATGAACCACGTTTTGGGCCATCTATTAGCAGTAGTAAAACTACTTTTCAAAGATGTATTTCCTTTAGAAATATAGAATAAATTACAAACTATGTTTTATTCTTAACCAATAACTAGAAAAGTTTGACTTTGGGTTGTCTTTCCTCTGTCTAGGAACATTCTGGAAGGGTTTTTCGACTTCAGTTTGATGAATTTCAAATTGTCAGCAGCTCACATGATGATACTATCCTTCTCTGGGACTTCCTGAATGATCCAGCTACGCAAGCAGAATTGAACCACTCCCCATCCAGAACATATACTTACATATCCAGATAAATGGCACTATACTCTAGATTACAGTTGCACAGGTAAAGACAAAAGAACTCTAAGTGACATCAGGCTGTGTAATGGGGGGGGGGGCCAGGAATATAAATAGTCATGTAGCTTATAGCATCTTAAGGATTTAATTCCTGAAATGAGAGTATTCCTGAACTCTAAAGATGGCTATGGTCATCTTATTAATCACTTTTTCCAATCAGCCATCCTATTTCTCATTGAAATTTCTGTCTAAGAAAAATCTAACCAGGTGGTTAATAAATGGATAATGTACTACCCTTGTTTGCCATAATAATTTTTTTCACAGCAAAAGTTCTCAATTGGAATTTATAAAGGAATAGGGGGAGGGGATATGCCTCAGATCAAGAACCTAAGAGTATTAAGGTAACACAAAGATAGTTGCACAGATTATTAGATTGGACACTGTTCCATACACCAAAATCTCTATATAGCATATATGTGATTCTTCACTATGATCTCTGTGATTTTCACAACTCAGGATTTTGGAAGGACTTCTGACCACCTTTAATATATCTACCTCTATGGCCATCCGTTCTCTTTCAACCACTATAGCGATAACAAAATAGGCAGTTCTAAATCAAGGTACTGCCTACTTCAACTTAAATGTATTTTAATCTTATATGAATGGCCATTTGTGCAATATTTTGCAAATTTAGATTATCAGCCATAGGGAAGCACTTCATTTGCCTAATCTGTTTCAGCAAAGGCATGTTATGAAATTCTGCCATCACTTTCATGGCAGGCCTGCAGAACTATCTCTTTCCACTTAAAGGCATTTCTGTGAGACTTAACTGATACTACAGTTGATTCAGCAGAAACTATGCTGTCCATAGCATTCAAGCAACCCACAGATCTAGGCTTATCAGTTGTCACATTGATTAATGTCAGTGTGTATAGCCTCACTGAACAGTGCATAGAGTTCTTCAATTAATACCAAGAGTAGTCTTTTGGTAACCCATAGAGACCCTTGGGAGTTAATATCAAGAGAATTTCCTCAATATCATTTATAAAAAGTAACTTTTTAATAGCTCTGAGGTTCAAAACAGGAAGACAAGATGCATCATTCATAGTGATTTATCCTATAACCTTGGATATAAATTGGCAACCAAGGTATGTGTGACAGTAAGAACACAAGATCTATGATAGGGTGTCCCAGAAAGGGAGATAAAGTGGAAACCTTCCATCTGTCTTAACTTTCAGTCATGCCTCTGTAACCATTCTGCAATGTAGAGGCATGTTGTAACATACTTTCTTGGTTCCAAGATGTCAGGCTTGACCTCAGGCCATTATAGTCCAGACCCCATATACTTAAAGGATCTTCATGACTCAGGAGTATTTTGATTAGTACCTCCATTATATTTGGCTTTCAACTCTATAGTTATCCAAGATTGTATCTACCTTCTGATCTTTGGTGTATGGACAACCGAAGCGCAGTAATTGGTATGTCTACCTTCTATAGCTTTTATAGCTAGATATTTTATATATAAGTATAAATCTATATATTTTATATATAAAGGCTCCTCCTTTTGAGACTATCCACAGATATCATCTGATATAATCAGAGTCATATGTCTGAGCAATGGTGTGGAATAAATGCAATATGCAAGGTGCCAGGTGATCTGAAGCATTTAACAACAGAGAATAATAATTTTCTATGTTGACAAGAAGTTGACATCAGATGATAGGTCAAGAACAGCACCTACACCCATAAACAATGGTGCCACTATGTGTCAAAAACAGCAAAAAAATGTGAAGATAATATTTTATTCCAGAGAATCTCAAATGAACTATTGTGACAGCTGTAGATTTAGAGAACCATGTGGAAGGGCAATACTTAATCCAAAGGAAAGCCAATAAGTTTGTGTCTTCACTTTAAAACTCAGAAAACGATGAAAAAATGAAATTGGCATCCTTTAAATCCATTGGTGAAAAATAGTGTCCCTTTACGAGGGGAAGAATGAAAAACCTTATGGAATTTTTGGACTGATAGGAAATAATTCACACTCCAAAGATCAAAACCGATACACCATTTTTCTCTTCAATATAGTAATATATCACAAAATTCATATTTCAGTTTAAAGTGTAGAAGCCTTTCAATGCGCCTTTAGGAAGTAGCATGCACATCTTCCTTTAATGAACACACACACACACACACACACACACACACACACACACACACACTGAGAACCAGGCTTGTGCACTAAACAGTAAACCAGTTTTTGAATCTAATTGAGGATATCGTCAGTTTTACTACGAAGGGTCCTTCTCTGTCAAACAGCAGGTCTTTAATGCGTGCCCTTGCTTTCTGCATGAGACCTGTGGAGTAGAGCCAGGCATGCTGATGAAGGGTGATAGTGTCAGCCATAGTTTTAAATGCACAATTACCAATGAAACTGGCAGTGTTTTTCTCCTGCTGAGAAACCCATGTTGCTTTTTCTTGGAAGAGTTTAACAATGTCCTTTTTTCTTGTAAATACTTACCATACCAACCAATATTCATGGCTCCATAGGAGGATAGACAGACACAACTTAGCAATGGACATGTCCTTTTTACCACTAATGAATATACTAACTACCAATGCCTGCAATGATTTGGTAGCTCACTATTGCTTTATTCAGATCCAGGAAGTGCAGATACCCAAAAAGCAGAAACTCTTATATCACCCTTCTATAGCTCCTGGCAGTGTGCAAGACTTTAGAGCCTTTCCACAGACACCAGACAGTGCAGATTACATTAAACCAGATACATTCAGTTGCGTGGTACCTGAATAAATAGGCCATTAGGAAATCCCTCACACAGTGGTAGGTTCAATTTTAGAACTACAATAGAATCAAAATGTATCTCATCATAGCTCATCTTCTGGGCAGGATATTTTAACAGATTCACTGAGTCAGTCACCTGCTCTCTCATGACTAGCATTTACAACCAACTGTAATTGGCATCTTGCTTCACTGTGGGAACAGGCAAACATAGAAATGTTTGCAGCCCAGAACAGATAGAATACTGAATTCCACTGGGGCCAGCATCCGTTCTAGTTCATCACTTTCAATTCTGTTGGTCAGATATCTTTGTTTTATCCCATTCTACTGTATTCTTTCCTTTGTCTTGATGAAGATTCTTTATGGATTGTACCTTTATATCATTCCTTCATTCTTGGTTCGCTTTTTTTCCTCCTTGGGACCTAAGCAGAATTCTATTGTCAACCATGCACACCATACCCTAATTCACATGCAGAAAGGGTAACCTAACTTAACATCTGAACCTTCAGTATCCACTTGGGAGCATCACAAAGGCTGAGTTCTCAAATACCACTAGATTATGAATGCAGTATAGAAACTTGAAAAACCATAGAAATTCAAAGAACTATAATGTTAATGATTCTCAAATTTTGGGGCCATTAAAGCATAAATCTCCTTAATTGTTTCCTTGAACATATTCTAGATTTCTTCCTATCTCCTCCATTCTTCTTCCAGGGCTAGCCTTGTAGCTGCTACTAGAGGCCCGTTTCAAAGAGTGTCACTTTCCACATATTCTACTGTTAGATGTTTCTTTAAAGGTTGTTCAAATTTTTCGTCCCCTCCAGTTTTATTCTAGTATGGAACTTTTCTCTGATTTTGATCAGTGTAATGGAAAGGCCTTCACGTTAGTGTCTTTGTGCCTTTTATGTTTATTGTTAAGACAGGATTTCTAATTGGCATCCCTTTCACATGCAAAACCATTAAACTTTGTCTTGTGGGTTGTGATGAGCTGCCTCTGAAACATTGTTGCATTTTACAGCTAGGTGTTTCCTTACTTCCCAAACTTTTTGAAATGTCAGTCTGGCACGTCCTTCCCTCTGCCCCGAACAGAGCAATTAATTGGAAAGGAACTAAGTCATTTGGATATGCTTTAGGCTCTTGTTTTCTTTTGTCTAACCCCATACTATGTGGACCAAATATGTGTCAGAGTTTCTTGGTATCAACAAGCCTTTCTCAAATTAGATGAATTGCAGCCATTAGTCTCTTTTGTTAGTTCATTGATAAGGTATTTTTTGTCACAAGACCAGCAGCTTTAACCATACACTTTAGAGTGGTCTCCTCCTGGGCAAACATATGAGAATGATTTGCTTTGAACAAGAAAGCTTGTTCAGGAAAGCAAACTTATCTCCAATGTGTCCACAATCAAGTGTGCCTTTTTAGGTAAAACGTTGTTACTCACCCATCTGTGTGAATCACATGATGAAGAATAGCTTATATACTCTTATGACTTTCAAATCTTCAGAGATGGAAGAATCCAGACTAATATATCAGTTATACAAAGCAATAACAATAACAACAGAACTTAGACTTATATACTGCTTCACAGTGCTTTACAGCCCTCTCTAAAGAGTCAGCCTATTGCCCCCAACAATCTGGGTCCTCATTTTACCGATCTTGGGAGGATGGAAAGCTGAGTCAACCTTAAGCCTGTGAGAATTGAACTGGTGAACTGTTGGCAGCCGGCAATCAGCAGAAGTGGCCTGCAATACTGCATTCTAACCACTGTGCCACCACAACTCACTTACAATTTCTATTAATTCTATGTATTACAATATAACCTTTATTTGAAGAGGATAATAATGTGGAGGCCTCAGCCTGTCATTCTGACTGCAGCAGAGAGGTTGAATAAGTGCAGCACAAGCTGATGGTCTCTTTTTACTTCTTTTCTTAATTACGCATTCATTTATGTTGTGGGTTTATCAGTCTTTTTCTTCTCAGAAATCTATTCTACTCGAAAACCACTAACAATTAGAATCCAAAAGTGTTGTGTTCCAGGTATACGCTTCATAATTATATCACATTCACGGAGCTGTATGTTCATTCACTTCATGCAAGTTCAGCTGTACAGTATGCATGATTTTTATTTTAGGTTATGTAAAGGTTCCAGTATATTTTAGGCATTACATATAAATGCAGAAAGACAGAACTCCTCAGTACCCCCCAAAATGTATTTTTTTCAGTTCTGTAGAGCTATTCATCTATTACATGTTCCATGATTAATATGACAAATGTACAAAAAAATATATAAATGTTCATTCAAATAAACTTAATGTAGTTCTCTTTAATTTGTAAAGCATGTAAATTAAGTTCTAGTTACAAAATTATAAATTACAAACAATTATTTCCTTGTCTTTCTTTTCCTCAGACTGAGCTGCAATACTTAAATGATCTGCCAATCCAAGGGCAAAAGATTTATCCTCAAAACAGATATTGCTGAAGAGACAGAGGGTCTCAGGCGCTTTTGGAACAAAGTTCTAATGCAGTTGATCTCAAACAAGTTCTTCTCAACCCAGCTGACTGCTTGAGTGCTGCTATATCAATGATTTCTTTTATCTTTACTGAATGACTGATGTGCACACTTTCCCTCGTCACACTGAGTCCCCTCAATCCCCTGTGCAGACTTCCTATAAATATATTTAACATGTCAGAATTTCTTGCTTTGCTCTTAAGCAGAAAAATCATTACCATCATTCATTCAACTGGGAGATCCCTTTTGATGTGCAAGCAAAAGAGGAACAGCGGGCTGATGCCTCTAATGTTTGAGACTTGTATAAATGGTCCCCCTCTTTCACTTTAAGATGGCCTTGGACTGTAAAGAATTGCCAGGTGAATGCCAAATGAAGGCCCAGGTGGCTGGAAATTACTAGGTGGTCATAATGGGAGTTTAAAACCATTTCAATTAAGACCTTTGCATTTATTTATCTGTATCAAATGTTAGTCTGGGAGATGCTCGTAAATGAAAATGTAAGTTTTATTTTGTAAGTCTAATATTGCTTAAGTGGAGAGGTTTATTGATCATCAGTTTTCTTGTTTTAATGGACGCCATATTTAAGGAAGGTAGAGTACAAAAAGTTACAGAAACTACAGGGTTGCCTATATCTTCCTACTTTTTTCCTACATCTACATTAAATAAATGCTTGCAAAAAAAATCTTATTCTTCCTACAAACCTAGTTGAATCATTTATGAATGAACCAACATTTATGTATTCTCCCACTTAATTGGAAAGGAACTAATAAAATAATGGATGTTATGACTCAGCTTTTTCAGCTTTTAAGCTGGAAGCCCATTTTATGTAGGAAGAGAAAATAGTGGAAAAGAAAATTGAAGGGGTTTTATGCAGATTTAGAGATAAAAATAAACTTGTTCTGTATTTCTAAGCAATCCCACGATAGGGTCATTAGGCAGCCACCATCACCAACTGGGGGTATTGGAAAATAAGAGCTTAATTCAGTTGGCAAAGATATGTTTTTAAGTTTGAAATTCCAGAAAACTAAATGTTTATGTTGCTAGAGTAGTAATTGGCCCAGTACAATCCCTAATAGCAGTCTCAGTGGATTGTAGGTTGATGGGAAGACAGAATATTTGGGCAGCTGGTTCTGTCTTATGTTTTTTCATCCTATATATGATCTATTATCCAGACCCCCTATCATCAAGGAAGTACAGCCAGAGACATTGGTTTTCAAAACAATGTTTTCTCTCCTGAATGCCCTCAGTGTTTGTGCATGTGTGATTGTTTCCCCCTGCCCCCCCCCCGGGCGGAGTTTTAAATAGGGTAAGATATGGCTAGTGCAACTTTGCTTGTATATTCAGTCCTGCTCCTTCCTGCTGTTTTCCCCAAATATTTTAGTGCTGTTTGTTTCTGAACAAACCAAATACTGGCCAGATAATCTTGATGTATAAAGTATGTTTTCATAGAAAAAGTTTCCATTCCAAAGAAAAAGCTGAAATTGAGCTGTTCGGATAGAACGAAGATAAATCATTCATTGCCATGAAAATGGCTGCAAAAGGAAGACTTTTTTCCTTTCAACTTCACCCTGCATGAATTGAAAGAAATTTCTGTTGAATCTCCAGCCCTTTACTAAGGTTTTGTTGTCCATTGGCTCTAAATATTCCACCTTGTATTTTCTCTTTCTCTTCAGAACATTAAAGGATTGATTGAATATGTAATTCTCACATATCTAAAATGAAATTTGCTTTGGAATGAATACTAACTTGAAATTGTGAATTGTATATTCACAGTGGAAGCAAATTGGAGCACAATTAAATTTCAGTCATAAGGAAAATTCTTATTTTAAAAATTTGTATTTCTAATACTTTCAGTTGATTATTTAAAACAAAAATGTTCAATTAGGGACACAGCTGAATAAAGGAATCCCTTGCAATAATAGTGAGCCATTTTCACTGTTCCATCATTAGGGAAGCTGAGCATTTTAAAGATTATATTAAGAATTTATGTACATTTATTACATTAGAATGGGATAAGCACCCCACTATGCAGTTAACAAAATCTATTTTGATTAAATAAGAGACTAAGGAAAAAGCTTCTTGTGTATTCCTCTTTTCTGGTCTCACAGATAAGAATCTTTTTGGGCCTATATGAGTAGTGGGATTTCACACTACCCAAAATTAAATGTTTGGAGATTTTACTCTTTCTGGGTGAAATTCTAATGCATCTAGTAACAGCATCATCAAGAGAAATGGTGATCTGTGTGTAATTTCCTGCTGCCCTCTTGGTTTGGGAAAATCTGTTAAAACTATTAATTTTTTAAATCTTAAACAGCCTGTGTGATACATTTTAACATTGTGAGCTATACGTTATTTTTTTATTTCCCTTCCTAAATAATTAAATTATTATTTTCCTGAAACAGAAAACCTTCCAAAGAGTTATTCTTCACACTATATCTAGATAATCCTTAACCTTCATTTTTCTGACATTGACCCCATATATCCAACTGAAAGTGAAATAACAATAGTAATGAAAGCACAATTGTCTCCCCTTATGCTGACTCCAGCTGGGTTTGGATGCCTAGAATGCACATTCAGGAATGCACATTTATCTCTGATAAAATAATTTTGGCTTCCTCCTGATTTATATCATGCCTACTGGAGTAAAGCATAGATGCAACTCATCCTTTATAGAGCACCATAGGGAAATTTCTGTTGGTATTTCTATCTGTTTCAAAGTCATAGCCTTTTTAAGATTTTGTAGCAGTTTTGTTTTTCAGTAAAGTTACATATCAAAGATACAGCCTAGTTTTACAAAATGTAATTGGACTATAGCTCTTCTGTTTTTAGTGACAGTGCTCATTCAAGTAACAGCAATTATTTAGTGGCCTTTCAGTGGTACCAGATAGCTCAGAAATGGGGCCTTTGATAAACCTTATAATTGTCCATGCTATGTAATATTTTCTGATGCTTTTTTCTGGAACACCTGCAAATTGGTACAGTCACATTTCTAGATGCAGAAATATCTGCACAGAATATTAGAGATCTTTTCTTGAAGATGTGGCTCATAAGTTGACTTACATGGATAAAAAGCACAACATTTAATGCTCACAGTAAAAAAAATCAAAAATTCAAATCACCAATCTTTATTTGCATATATATTCAGGATATAGTCCAACATTAAATGTTGAGCAAGGCATAGTGAAACTATTATGGCTAAGAGAAGCTGCATCAGAAAAATAAAACTGAAAAACATGAAGGTGGATTGTAGAAACTAAAGCTTTTTGATCAAAACATTCATATTTATTTTGCATGCTTTTAAGTATACATTCACTACAAAGAGGGCTACAAACATCTCATTTGTATAAATGGGAAACAGGTAATTTATGCTCCTCAGATATTTTTAAAAGTGTAGCCTTGACAATCCCTGTCTATTGGTTTAGCTAATTTGACTAAGGGAAAAGGAAATTGCTGCTAATCCACACAACAGAATATAATAGTAAACCTTTTTAATATCTTCACTCTAAAAGTGTAATTGTCAATCATATTTTTCATAGCACAAAGAAATAGGATGCTACTTCAAAATCTGGTAAAAATGAATCATGGCAATGTCTCTAATAACTTGTTCCTGTTTGAAAATAAACACCTCAAAGACCAATATATGTTTATTGCAACTGCAGGAAATGCAAAGAATTCATACACAGGTGATTAGCAAGCAAATATATGGTCTTATTTGTAACACTGCTCTTTGTTCTTTAGTTTCTAGATCTTGTGAGTGCTTTGGAATTTTTGTGAATATGTTTTGGTGATGTGTAGCTTATGTACTAGTGTTCACTTGAGCTAGGGTCATGATAAGTGGTTTTTTTTAAAAAAAAAAAAACCTAACTCATCAGAAAAAGAATATAAAGACAAGATTAAGCTGTGAACTTTCTAAGTGTTTTTATTTCTGGAATCTTAAATTAAAAGTCTGTTATCCAAATGCTGTAGCACTGACCTGCGACAGCTTCCCCCTTGAATATGCTATTAATATTATAGTAACCTATTACACCGACCAGAATAAGTAGAGACGATGTATTCTTCAAAACAGAAAATATTTACTAAATGAATCCTACAAGATATTTCACTGAAACATCATATTATTAGTTTGGAAGATACCCTAGAAGCAGCTATTTAAATAATGCTATTGATACAAACATGTAAGATCCAGAATTATTTAGATTATACTTTCTTACCGTCTTCACTGAGTCACATCCACTTCAGAATTTCAACTTTGGCTTAACTGCTCTTTTTATACATCATCTATTTGCATACATATTCAAATTTTCATATATATGTGCATTCAGATTAATTTTCAAGAATGATTTTTCCCAATGATAGAACCCTCACAGGTTAAAGCACTCAGATTCAGTATTATGGGAAACATCTACTTCTAAAATAAAGGGAAGGAACAGTTAATTCAATTATTCCAGTCCAAAGTTGCAGATTTTATTTTTATCATTTAGCCATGTAAGTGAAGGAGGGACATTAGGTAACATACTCGTGTTATGCAGTACAAGTCAGTGGCTAGAGGTTTAGAGTTAATCATATCCTAATGCCTATTGCAAGATATTTACAGACATTAATGGTGAGAGAAAATAAATGGGTAATAGGAACCCATTAGTAAAACAATTTTTTATGTGGGTATGTGTACACATGCATGATGATTTGTACTTAAATAGCCGGTGCGACATGTTCTACACCGACCCAGCCATACCTGCCCTACTCAGCCACACCCACTCGTCCCTGCCCACCTGGCCTCACTGAGAGAGTGGCATGGAGTTAGCTGTGCGCAGGAAAAATTCAGCAGGCAAGGTACAATTGACAGACGGTTTATTCCATACAGGAGAAAAGTCAGCGCTGGGAGTGAACTGTTCCCAGCGCTTTACATAGCTTCTCTGCTTCAAAGCCCCACCCCCCAGTCTGCAAGCCAGTATCCAGCATGCAGAGCACATAAGCGGCCATTCGGGTCCTCGCCTCCTTCCTTTGCCACAGACGCATATCGGATGGCCTGCCGGAGCAGGGCCCAGATAGGTTTTCGGCGTCCATTCAAGCATGCAATCTGGGCTTCCAGGAGCCAGGTGGCTGCCAGGGGGCCCTTCCCCCCTCGCTGAGGCGTCGCCTCTCCCCTTGGTCTGCTGCCTCCTGTGGCACCGTGCTGCCCGTCCCTGGCACGGGGATTCCCCTCTTTGCCCCTACTGCAGGGATTCCCTCATCAGCATCTTCGGTGCTGGACAGCTGGCGGTGTCCCAGCCCTGGCCCCGATGTCACAACCACTGTGGGGATTCCCCTCCATGTCTTAGGTGACAGACAGCTGACGGTGTCCTGGCGCCAGCCCCAACGTCGGCTGATGTACTCCCGTCTGCTGGCAGTCCCGGCGGTGGCTCCAGCCGGCGAAGAGGGTGGTCGGAAGGCTACAGTGGCGCTGAGCTCCTGTGTCCAATAGCTGGCAGCCTCCCAGACCCAGTCTCGTTGTGGTGAGTCTTGATGGTGGTCCCGGCCGGCGAAGTGAGCAAATGGGAGGCAGAGGTTCGGCGTTGAGTCCCCCTTCCCTCCATGTGCTTACACCTGTGTGGCTTCCCCGGCTTTCACCAGGGCCTCCTTAACTGCACTCCACGCACTCCCCATGTGCGTCATCCACTCCCTGGGTTGGCAGGGGAAGGGATCCCCTTGGTTACACTCGGGTATGAGGACAAAGTCTCTTCCATGCACCACCCAAAAGGGAGTAAACCTGGTGCTACTATGCACCAGATTATTATAGGCCACCTCAGCGAATACCAATAGGTCCACCCAGTCTGTTTGCTGGTAGGACACATAGCTTCACAAATAGCATTCCACCATGACGTTTGCCCATTCTGCTGCCCTGTTGGTACTGGGATGGTACATCGAGCTGAGACCCTGGGAAGACCCGATAAACTGGATGAATTCGCGCCAGAAGCGAGCTGTGAACTGCACCCCGCCCCCAGTCCGAAATGATCCATCGGGGTACTCCATGCAGGCAGTAGACGTGTGTAATGAACAGCCTGGCCAGCCTCTGGGCAGACAGCAACCCTTTACATGGAGCAAAGTTTGCCTGCTTAGAGAAAAGGTCTACAATGGTCCAGATGACTGTGTAGCCATGGCTCTCTGGCAATTTGATGATGAAAGCCATCGCAATGTCCTCCCAGGGTCTGGTTGGGTCCGCCACCGGTTGCAATAGTCCCAAGAGCTTCCCTGTATGGGGCTTTGCGGTGGCACAGATGTGGCAACCCTGGATGCAGGCCTCTATGTCTGCTTTCATCTGTGGCCACCAGAATTGACGCCTTGCCAAGTGTAGGGTCTTGAGGAACCCAAAGTGACCCACTTGTTTCATGTCATGGCAACGTTGAAGCACCCCCTGCCTCAATGCTTGCAGGACATAGAGCTTATCACCATGCCAAGCCAAACCATCCCGGTTCGTCAGCAGGTCTGGATGGTCCTGTAACCAGGGGTCATCCGGAGTGCTGTCTGTAGCTCATGCCTCAGGTCACTTACCACTGTACGGGGTACAGCCCTTGCCACGGCTTGGTGGTAAGGGCATAATCTCCTGCACCACCTCCTCCCACTTGCTATTATATTGAGGCAGTCTCGACAAGGCGTCAGCCAAGAAATTCCTCCCCCCGGTACATACTTCAGCTGGAACTGGAACCGCAGGAAATATTGTGCCCATCGGACGTGTTTAGGGGACAGGTGTCTTTGGTCCTGCAGTACTTCCAGGTTCTTATGGTCTGTCCAGACCTCAAATGGTTCCTTTGCCCCCTCCAGGAGGTGTCACCATGTTGAGAACACCCACCGCACAGCAAATACCTCCTTATCCCAGCTGGCCCACGCCCATTTGGTCTCTGTAATCTTCCATGACATATAGGCACAGGGTTGCAGGGATCTTTACTGTTCCTCTGGAGTAAGACCGCCCCTACTGTAACATCATTGGCAGCCTGTACCGCAAATGGCCTGTCAGGGTCTGGGTGGAGCAGAACCGGCTTCTTCATGAACAGAGCCTTCAGAATCTCAAAGGATTTCTGACACACCATTGTCCATGCCAACGGCTGGCCGGGGTGTGGCTTTGACACAGCCTTCCAGGTGTATAGCAGGTCCGTCAAGGGTAAAGCCACCACAGCAAATGAGGGGATAAATTGTCTATAAAAATTGACAAACCCCAAGAAGCTCTGTAGCTGGTGGCAGGTCCTCGGCGCCTGCCACTCCAGAACCCTCTTGACCTTACCAGGGTCCATTTCCAACCCTGCCCCTGATATCCGATACCCCAGGTAGTCCAGTTGGGATTGATGGAACTCGCACTTGGACATTTTCACAAATAGCTGGGCCCTCAACAGTTTCTCCAATACCTGCCTCACCAACCTGACGTGGTCCTCCATGGTGGTGGTATAGATGAGAATGTCACCAGATACACAAGCACCCTGCGGTACAAGTGTTCATGCCACACTTCATTAATAAGTTGCATGAATATTGCGGGGGCTCCCTGCAATCTGAATGGCATGACCCAAAACTGGTAACTACCAAGTGGGCAGTTGAATGCCGTCTTCCATTCGTCCCATGGCTTGATGCGGACCCGATAGTATGCCTCGCGCAGGTCCAGCTTGGTGAATATCTAGGCCTGTGCCAGATGGGCCAGGAGGTCCTTCATCAATGGGAGGGGGTACATATATTCAACACACACCCAACTGATGCTTCAGAAGTCCACACACAACCGGAGGGAACCATCCTTCTTTTCTTTGAACAGGACTGGCGCCATGATCCGTGAGCGGGCCGGTTGGATGAAACCCCTGGCCAGGTTCTGGTCGATGTAGCGACACAACTCTTCCATCTCCCGGGGTATCATCGCATACATATTCGGCTTAGGCAGTTTTGCTCCCAGCACAATGTCAATGGCACAGTCAGTCGGTGGGGTGGCAGGATGTCGCACTCACGTTCGCCAAAGACTTAGGCGAGGTCGGCATACTCAGCCGGAAATCTGTTTCCCTGCCCTGTGCCAACCTGGGTCGCTTTTGCCCCTCTGTTGCCTCCCTCAGCCTCCTCAGGGTCCTGGGTTGGTGGCCGGGGACCAACTCCCAGGCATAGGTTTTGACAACCGCCCTCTCACCAAATCGTTGGGCCCCACTTGTCCAACCATGCAAGCTCCAGGATCACTGCTTCAGTCATGGAGGGGACCACAATGAACCAGAGGACCTCCCAATGGCCCCCATCTCCATCCTCACATGTTCTGTTATGAGAATGGCCGGAGGGCCCCCCCCGCAGAAAGGACCCATCCACCTGCTCGAATCGGATCAGATTAGCCAACTGCCTCACCCTGGTTCCGACTTCGGTTACCGCATCCTTACTGATGAGACAGCGGGTACAACCGGAGTCAATTAAAGCCCTGTACTCACCCTATGACCTGTTTGTGGGCTTGTTAGGGTGATAGGGATGGCAAAGGAGCATATTGGCTCATTCACCATGGGATCCTTGGCCGAGTCGTCCGCACTGTCATAAGCCACCAGCCGGTACCTGGTGGAGGATGTTGCCTCTTCCCCCATCAGAGGCGGCCGTTGGGGGGGCATCCCCTTCCAGTTGCTGCACTGCTCGCAACCATTCAATGGCCTTCTTGGGTGTAAGACCAGCTTTCCCGGGAGCTGATGGGTTACCTCATGGCACAGGAACTCTGCCGCCCGATGCCCTGGTTGGTTGCACCAAAAACACCAGAATGCCAGCCTAGAAGGTGGACCGGAGGACCCCAGTACTGGAGCTTGGGTCCTATGGCCGTCGTCTTTGGGTTTCTCTGCTACCCTCCGGGGCACAAGTAGGTCCTCCCCCTTCCTCTGGAACTCCTGCAGTTCTGTGTCCAGTTCAACCACCACCTGGAACCATTCCTGGA